CTCGAATAATTTCGCTGTTGTTTTGTCAACAGTAATAGATGAACTCTCAAATCGTCCTCGTCGCGTCAGTGACATTTTTTGCACGTTATATAGAAGTTTTTTTTTTTTTTAAATTCGTCCTAATGAATTATTGTCTTACTCTATCTACTTACTCATCCCTACATAATTTTCTCTATTTGATTTACTCATAGTTAATTTATTAAAATCATCCAAAATTCACACAACCACGTTAACGCCATTTAAGTCTTCCCTTGTGCTTCTTATGTGAGATTGTTATAATATTCTAATAAAATTATAATATCGTCGAAATTCGAAGTTTTAAAATTCTTCTGACATAATTACGTATCGTTGCTTATGTATGAAACGACGATTGTTAATTTAAGTCCAATTAATTTAAGTAATTTAAGTACAGGGTGTCCCAGATCACCTTCACAATCTCTTGTGAGGACGTAAAGCGGATTGAAATGAACACAAAAATTCAATACCATTCCGCGATATTCGCAATAAATCTCAAGATATTAGTTACAAAAGATTGGTGAATGATCACGCGCGATGTGGTATACGAGCTGCAATTGCGCCGTTTGCCGTTGTTTCCAGACTATCTGAGATAACAGGTAATTACTTTGAAATCATTCAAGGTTACTGCAACTATCAATAGTAATCCAATTTAAAACGTTACTATTATCGATAGGAAGTATCATCTAATATCTGACACCGCTTCAATCAGTCCGACGGAATTTCCGATTGACGATTTACCCCTTCCAAATGAGAGCGTACAGTATTGATTTTGCCTTGAGAAATGTGTATTCCTTGAATAACGCGGGGCATTCCCGGGTTTCAAAGATGTACGCACGACACAATCTCGTCCTAAAAAACTGTGCAAAGTATACTTGTACATTAAGTCAAACTGAACAAAAAAGTCCTCTACCATTTTGCAAATAACAACTTAGATTTTTAGATATCAAAGAAAATTTATGCATTATAGTACATAATCGTGTAATAATTTTCTTTGATCTAAAAATCTATATAGTCATTTGCAAAATGGTAGAGGACTTTTTTCAGTTTGACTTAATGTATAAGTACAGAACGGCAGACGGCGCCACTACAGCTCATTTACTATATCGCGCGTAATTACTCACCAATCTTTAATTAATATGTCGGCTGGTATTGCGAATATCGCAAAACGGTATAAGACTTCATCTCAATCCGCTTTCCGTCCTCACGACAGATTGTGAAGGTAATCTGGGACACCCTATATATACCTCGAGAAAAAAATATTAAAAAATTAATAAATATTAATCAAATAGATACCATTAACACATATTTACCTAAATCAAAATTCTCTTCTTGAGTAAACAATATTCAGTTTAAATGAAAAAAAATCTTGATTTAGATAAATATGTCAATGGTACCCTAATAAATATTTGTTAACTTTAACTTTTAGATATTTTGTTCAGTATATTCTTTTCAATTTCTTTTCTGCGATGCGGATTTTACACGTGCGCGATATACTTGCGTGCAAACGCGCCGCGGGGTTAGCGCACCGTGCACTGCGATGGACGACACGCCGGAGGCTTTTTCGAAATTCTGTCACGGTGGCTTTGCAGCGCGTGCAAAACGCGATGCAACGGCTCGTGACGACCTTTGGTCGCGTTGCAGTGACTGTCAATTGTCGAAGCATGTGACGCCGGAAAATATACGCGGAATAGCGAGACGGCGCGGCTGTTTTGTCAGGACGACAGCGATGACGATGACGTCGTTTTGTAGCTGTGCCCTGCGATTGTATCGCCGCTCGACCGCCCGCACAATCTCCGGCCGTGTCCGCCGCGCAGGTTGGACTCGAAAATCACCGCAAAAAATTGCGTTACGCAATCGTGAGAATTGTCGTCGCGTACGTTGGACGAAAATCGAGCGTTGCGCGACTCAACAAGTGTCGTTTCGAGCAAGACGAGAGTCCGACGACTTCAGATCTCGCGTGTTCGAACGAGGATAATGTGGTATGTATACAGTCGGTAGAAGGAGAGTTGCAACACTTTTTTTATCAACGAGTTTCGCCACACATTTGCGTCCAATCTGGGACAATTTGCTTTTCGATAATTCTCTGAAGAGATAAATTTTCCTGTGTTGGATGCACACAGAAAAATATTCCACCGCTAAGAAAAGCGGTTACTACGTTTTCTTTCCTTCTTTTAAGCAATGATTATCTTCAACAAAGGATATATTTTCTTGATAATAGTCTTACAATATACTTATCGCAAAAAAGCTCATTATCGTGTATTTAAAAGAAAAATGTATTCTCTTTACAAGAATATTATAATGTAAAACTTTATAAAAGAAAATTGATTTGACTCTTTACGTAGTGAGCAAATGGAATTCTTTTTTTAAATTCATATTCTTGATTGAAATGCTAAACTTACTAGAATTCAGAATATATTTTGAGTAAGTTTGATGGACTTACGAGGAATTTACGATAGATTTGCAGATATATAAACTTATGAAATACTTGAAACAAATGACAATTACTTGAATGCAGTTCAACTAAATGTATTTTTCTGCGTGTGCCAGATGCGTTCTGAAGTTTATCGGGATAACAGTGTCGTAATCTTTCTTGTACTAATTGGACACTACAAAAAAGATTAGATGAAGCAACTCGAATCAAATAATGCGATATATGAAAAATCATTTTTCTATGCGAAGATTGAAAGGAAAAGAAGGTGGGAGGGAGGGAAAAAAGAAGAGGAGGAGGAGGAAAGAGAGTGTCCTATATGTGTCGCATTTCTTAAACCCCTTAATCAATGCTGACACGACAAAGTTATTGTATAATCAACGCTGACACGACAAAGTTATCGTATAATCAATGAACAAAACACAATACTGAGTTTGCTGTTTAAATAAAAACTCACAAGCGCGCGATGCAGCTGCATCTTACGGTCATAACTGCGAGTTTACCGCGATTATTCCGGATTTCATTTTGCATCGACTTTTTTTTCTGTTATCGCTTATCTCGATAACGCGTCGTGATAAGCGATAACGCCGAAACCCGACGAATCTCAATTTTGCTTGCGTTGCTCGCCGAAACAAAATGCGACTGATTCGAGGAGCTTGCCTGTGTGTGAACCATCATAAATCCATATTTTTCGGAAATGAAGAGTATGTTTATTAACTCGTTAAGAGTTTACTGCAGCTTATTATACTTATTGTAAGCTTATTATAAGCTCTCCGTGACTTTTGCGACAGATGATCTAATCTATATTGAGAAGAGAAAGGGAAAAAAGATACGAATTTAAGAAGATTTTAGAGTGAGCTATTTAATTCCACGCGATATCAACTCAAATTAAGACGTGTGCTTATCTGCTAAATTACGAACGAATTATAAATAACTGAGAAGCCGCTGCTTCCGATGTTACTGTGAGATTTCATCGTGCGATAAGGAACTTATTGTATCATAAGAGTCAAATTTAGGAACAAGCATTTTTATCACCGAACCATTTCAGTTAAGACGAATCGCGCGATAAGGATCTCATCGGATAATTTTCTAACTCTGCGTGATAACATGAGAATATATTGTATCGTTATCAAGGTTAAAATAGTTACTTCTGAAAAATGACTTGTTATTCAAAAAATGCAATTGTCTTACCCTTACTAATGCGGAAAAAATAATTTTATTGCCAAGTCGTTATTGAAAAAAAGTGACTTGCACTCAAAAAAGTGTTTTGCTGTTCCAGATAGAATTCTAAATGTCACGGTTAAAATTCGTTGTTTTTTGTATTTGCTAGAAAATTGTCTATGGTAGTGTATATCCAATTAAATTTAATAGGATGAAAAATTCTTCGGTATTTTGATCGCAAATATTCTTTATTAATTTTTTATCGGATAATTTCTCTCAGTGTGTTAATGGTATTCACCTAATAAATATTTGTTAATTTTTAGATATTTTTTCTCAGTGTATATATGTACGCTGACATTCTACGTAGCCGATTGTCGTGAGAATTAATCCAAACTTGTCTAACCGCGCGAAAGATCTGCGACTGCCGTTAACCTTCGTAGATTTATCCTCGCCTTTATCGACCGTGGTGGCACTTTTGTTGCTTCCTCTGTCAATAATGCACAGCTCAGAGAACGGGAGCGAGAATTGTCGACGTTGAATTTCCATTGAGCATACGTGCCGATGCACCGGATGTCGCATGGATGTTTCGTTCACCGGAAATCCCTTCCCGTACGGAGAGAGAAAGTGTCCGCGTCAGCAAAAGCCGTCGCGGATGATTCGTGTTCCGCACGAATTGTCTACGATTTATGCTGGTAGTAGCGTTCTCGTTATTGGGAAGTCGCATTTGTTGGGCTTATCGAGTGTCCTTTTAAGAATCGCGATTCTTCACAGCCGACGTTTCCTCTTCCTTCTCGTCGCGGTGTGCTTTGTTTGCGCAATCTTTTTTGCTCTCTTCAATGTTACGTGCCGCCTCGTAATTAAAGCTCTCGAGTTGAATATCTTAATTAAACCTCGCAGTTTAAATTAAACCAACGAATGTTACATATTGTACACACAAATGGTTTCGTAACTGCTCTTATTATAACTTTTCAACTGTTGTTGTTATATATTCGAACTGACTACCGAGAATACTTGCTCCCCTCCACCCCCCGAGCGAGTTTGCGGCAAGTCCTTTGTTCTCAACCGCTAATTACTCGCGGACCGTCAACATCTCGACGATATCGTCGAGGAGACATTGACTTCGCTCATAAATCAGCCGAGCTGCGCACAGTTGAAAGAAACCATTCGCACAATTCTCATAAATAATTGAATTGTACCTCGTTAGAAGCGCGTAATCTTTATTGTACACGTATCCTGTACTTTCTCCCGAGTACTGATCCGCGGGAGACTGCCAGCGGATTAGTCGCAGGGTCGCGGAGCTATAATCCACACACAATCCTAGGACCAAGAATTTTCATATTATCTTGACGCGTGTAAAACTCAACGTGACGTATGCGAATACTGTGTGTTCAAGAGTAAAGCTCAAGATGGAGAACCAGCAAGTGTGGGTACGAGATCCCCAAGAGGGTTTCATCATCGCCAAATTCACGGACATGGTGGATGGGGACGCTCTGATCATTCCGCTCGATCCGAGATACCCACAGCGCACCTGTCCGTTAGACGAGGTGTATCCTGCCGGCGAATACACCAAAGATGTCGAGGATAACTGTGAGTAAGCCATTTCGAGAATCGAATTTCATTAAACGTTATCCGAATTAATGTACCACCGATGTCCCATGAAGACTGGTCTGACAATTCATTTGTCGTAGGAAAGAGAAATAGATCTTTTATCTAATAAAAAAATATAAATTTTAATAATTCTTAAGTATCAGATTGGTGCAAAACTCGTTCGTGTGTTTGTCAAATAAAACAGAAAACGAAATTATCCAATTTCGAGGGATTCATAATTTTTAATATTTTATAGAATAATTTAAAATCAACAACATTGACTATTCTTGTTGACATTTAACGAGGACTTTCTATTTTTCTTTTAATACACAAACTTTCTACGGAAATTTAAAAAGAAAATGACAAATTTCTTGCCAATTTGATATTAAATTATAGAACTTAGTCAATTTAGAGTCAAGTGCAAGATTATTTTTAATTTCTGAAGATATTAAAATTTTCAATTTTTTGGGAAGAAAGAGTAAGAAAAAAAAATATATATATATATACTGAAGTGTTCAACTATAATTTAAAATCAACAACATTGACTTCAATAACATTCTTGTAGACATTTAATGAGGACTTTCTATTTTTCTTTTAATACGCAAACTTTCTACGGAAATTTAAAAGGAAAACAACAAACTTCTTGCCAATTTGATATTAAATTATAGAACTTAGTCAATTTAGAATCAAGTGCAAGATTATTTTTAATTTCTGAAGATATTAAAATTTTCAATTTTTTGGGAAGAAAGAGTAAGAAAAAAAAATATATGTATGTACTGAAGTGTCCAACCATTTGTAGTATTACGGGTTCCTCGATTGTTATTACACCGTGACTAACTTGCTTCGTCCAGTTTGTCAGAGATTACGATCGCGCGGTTACGCTCGCTTCTCACGCGACTTTCGCTCTTTTGCAAAAGCGCTTTCACTGATCCCTCTGTGATTGTTGTTTTTATTTTCTAAATTATTCCGTCAGGTGCTCTGATGTACCTGAACGAGGCCACGCTGCTGAACAATATACGCTCTCGTTACTTCAAGGACAGGATATACGTGAGTAGTCACGAAAGTGCCAAGCTGAGACTCGCGCTGTGACACGCAGTCACACGTTTAACTATTTAATTGCAGACTTACGTCGCCAACATCCTGATAGCTGTGAATCCGTATTGCGAGGTGAAGGATCTTTACTCGCCGCAGACTATCAAGGCTTATCAGGGAAAGTCCCTGGGCGAAACGCCGCCGCACGTCTTTGCCATCGGTATGTGATGTCGTTTTTCATCTGTTCCCATCGTTAGTTCGCGCCCGACCGAATGGCGACAGTACAGTAGTTGTTGCTTCCGTTTTCTCGCAGGCGACAAAGCGTTCAGAGACATGAAAGTGCTGAAACAATCCCAGAGCATTATCGTATCCGGTGAATCGGGAGCGGGAAAGACCGAGTCGACCAAGTATTTGCTACGGTATCTCTGTGATCTCTGGGGTTCCACGGCCGGACCAATTGAGCAAAAGATCCTCGACGGTAAATGAATGAGTAACGCATCACGCACGGAGGGAATTTTATAGTAAAAATTACTTTATAGAATTTTATAACTGACGAATTTCGTATATCGACGTTTTATTTTGATTTATTATCCTCCCGTTTTTTATACTTGCTATTTATATCTTAAAACCTAAGTCTATTAGTACAACTTATTGGATATTTCTCAGCATGAATGAACTCTGCTGACGGTCTATTTCTGCACTACTAAAAAATATAGTAGCTAGAAAATGGCTAGAAAAGTTGAATAGAATTTACGTGGAAAAAAAGCTATAATATTCTCTTCGTGTGATGAAACGTCCTCGCAAAATAAATCAATAATAATCAAACGTTAAATAACTGAGATTATTAGAATTGTTAAAAAGCTAATTAAATAATTGATAATTAATTTATCGATGTAGTTTCCTTTCTCGAGAAATAATAAAGGATACTCTTCTGTATCTATCAGACACAAAATAAAAAGGATACTTAAGGATAAAAAGGATACTTAAGGATGTATTTCTTATAATTTGTCGTTTTCTCCCTCAGCGAATCCGGTGCTGGAGGCGTTCGGCAATGCCAAGACGAAACGCAACAACAACAGCTCGCGCTTCGGCAAATTCATGGAAGTGCACTTTGACTCCAAGTGCCAGGTGGTCGGTGGCTACATCTCCCATTACCTCTTGGAGAAGTCCCGGGTCTGCTTGCAGAGCCCGGACGAGAGGAACTACCATGTGTTTTACATGATGTGCGCCGGCGCGCCGGCCGATCTACGCGCGAAATTGGGAATCACTAAGCCGGACGACTTCCATTACCTGAGAAATGGCTGCACCCAGTACTTTTGCAACGCGAGCTCGGAGAAGCGGCTGAATGAGGCGCAGAAGAGCCGCGAGCAGAGCCAGAAGGGCAGCCTGCACGATCCCATCTTGGACGATGTCGAAGGATTCAACGCTATCGATCAGGTACGTTTGACACGCACGTTTGTTCCCGTGCGAAATTCACATGTAATTTCTTCATCTTCACTGTACACACAAAGGCATTCACTCGACTCGGTCTGACGGATGCTGAACGCATGGAGATCTACACGATGGTGGCGGCGGTGCTGCATCTCGGCAATATCACGTTCGAGGATAATCCTGAGGACACCAAAGGCGGCTCCAGGATAACCGGCAGCTCGGAAAAGGCGGTCATGGCGTCCGCGAAATTGCTGGGAGTGGACCCGGAGGAGTTGCGACAGGCCCTGGTCTCGAAGGTCATGCAGACCAGTCGGGGTGGCATTAAAGGGACGGTCATTATGTGAGTATTCTAAACTATGAGAGAGAATGAAGATGTTAATATTTATTTATCAGTATCAATTAATATTTTGCTTTGTGATATCTTTTGTAAAAAACATTTCTACCGTTTTTCTCTATTATTTATTTTATTTATTTATTTATTAACAGCTATATTATACCTCCATTTAATAAAAAAATACAAATAAAACAAAATAAAGTACAATTCTGCATTATCGTGATCTTTCGATCACGTTTACTGATTCATTCAATCGCGGTAGGGTGCCGTTGAAGGTTTACGAGGCCAATAACGCCAGGGACGCGCTAGCCAAGGCCATTTACAGCAAATTATTCGACCACATCGTCGCGCGAATTAACAAGAGTATACCCTTCAAAGCTTCGAGCTACTATATCGGCGTGTTGGACATCGCAGGATTCGGTAAACGAATTAATTTCGAACGAGTTACTTGTTCCCAGTCTAATAGGAGCGTCGCGACGGACTCACTTTCATTTTTGTAGAATATTTCAAGGTCAACAGCTTCGAGCAGTTTTGCATAAACTATTGCAACGAGAAGCTGCAGCAATTCTTTAACGAGCGAATATTGAAGTACGAGCAGGACCTTTATGCCCGAGAGTCGTTAAACGTGCCGAAAATCTCCTACGTCGACAATCAAGACTGCATAGGTACCGTAGACCAAATGTTTGAAAAATTAAGAAAAGTGATAATTTTACTTCATTCAGCGTCCAAAAGAGAGAATTCTCCTATATATAGTATCTTCTTGCTTAATCGAACTACTTCGAATAAGTAATAGGCGAATTCACAGGATGCAAATATTACGCAAATCATGCTAACTTTCAGATTTAATTGAATCGAGGAACACGGGTATCTTCAGCTTGCTGGACGAGGAATCGAAACTGCCGACTCACAGTTTCGCGCATTTCACCAGCGAGGTTCACCGAGCCTGGAGCGGTCATTTCCGCATCACTTTACCGCGAACGTCACGACTGAAGGCTCATCGAGAATTACGAGACGACGAGGGCTTCGTGATTCGCCATTACGCCGGCGGTGTCTGCTATCAAACGGTAAAATAGCGAATTGCCTATCCAGAAGCCGCGAGCGCGTAAAAGACGTCATAAATGTGTCTGAACGAAGTCGTAACTTTTTCATACACGCTTCTTGAACTTCTCTCAGACGTCGCACGGAAATTTGTGGTTTTCTTTTGCTCAGGAAACTGCTAAGGAGGGGGGGG